AAACGTTCAATCAATTGAGTGTCATTGAAAGAGCCGACTTTGTTCCAACTTATAAATTTCTGGATGAATCTTTAGTTGCCAAGATTGAAATGCTATTCAGCGATGAAAAAGAAATACTCATGATTGGAGAATCACCAATAGATTATCACTGTGCAGACCTTTGTCAATTCAAATTCTCTCAACCGCTTTTGAGCGATGCATATACAGTTAATGGGAAAGTCTATCGTAACGGGGAAATATGCGATGTTGATGTAACGCTATATTATGCCAGCATTTATGAATTTTCTCTCAAAATTGGATGGCATGAATTTCCGTAAGTTTGTTTATATAATGTGGCTCGTTAATATGGTAAATTATTTATTTTAATACAAATTTAAGTGAAAGTGTTGAAGATCTTTGTGTCAAATGGGAGCTGTCGGGTAATCGTGCTAGGATTGGTTACTTTGGTTCACGTCATCAGCATGGAACTGGGATAGAAAAAGATGTTTACGGACGAAGCCTAGCTGCGGAAAGCAATCGAATTGCACGAGGAACGAACGAACAAACGGAGCGAGCTGAACGGGATGCGGAGAAGGCAGGCCAAAGTAATTCTCGTGGCGACGATCTAGACACAGAAGGCAATCAAATTGCACGAGGAGCGAATGAACAAGCGAAGCAAGTTGAATGGGGAATGATAAAGGCGATACAGAGAGATTCTCGTGGCGACGATTTAGGCACAGAAAGCAATGTCATGTCACATGAAAATGTCGAAAAAAGAACTAATAAGTCAAAGATTCGGAAAGTTTCTACGGGTGCTTCGAAAGACGTGCTTAATATTGCCGACATGATAGAAAACGATGTTGATGCTGATGAGTCAGATGCTCACAACAAAGTGCGCAAGGAATCTAATATAAAGGATGATTCTAAAGGCAAAGATCGCGAAACAGATTCCGATTTTAATCCAACGCGAGGTCCTACAGGCGTACGTCAACCTTTTCAATCTTACGCAGAGGTAGCAGCTAGAAACTGGAAACTCACCGAAACGGGAAAGTCGAGTGATATTTACGGAAACAAAGATATCAAGAAGCAGTCTCGACCGATCTCGCCTCGATATCAGAATTCTGTCGAAGTGGTCACAACGTTTCACATTCATATGCCTAAGCTGAAGGATGTCCATGTCTTTGTTCTTGGTAGTATCGATGAATTGGGCAGGTGGATGGAGGCAAAAGTCTGCCTTAAGAGATATAAAGAGTCATCGGATTATTGGTATTCGGACCCAGTGAGAATTCCGATGCTTCGCTTTAATGATATCGTTCACTACAAATACGTTATAATTTTTAAAAAGGGGGGGATAGTAAAGGAACTTTTTAGATACATCTTCAGGAATGATAATGATAATGTTGCTTATGAAGGCCATAGTGACAGAGATAATCGCGAACTTGTTCCCGTAGAAAACCAATACGACATCTGGAAGCCGAATTCAAAGCACTTTATTCCTGATCGCGATATTTCTAAGTCGTTTTTCTTTCCTACGCAGATATTCGAAACGATCACCAAAGCTAATTTCAAGGCCAAGCTTATGGACTATCAACAGGTGTTCAAGGAATACAAAGAACTCTGTATGGAAACTGTGAACATAGAATTTATCAGAAACTGCGCTTGCGTGGCTAAAGAAGATGCACAACGTGTTTTCTTGTGCATACTGCTCGGCTTGTTTGTGAAAAACTCCCGTAGAATTTACGAAGTCAGACTTGGGGATACATTTCCATCGGCCGGCTTGTTGAATTCTCTTAGTTTTATAGACGCTGATGACATACTTCTCAAAGATGTTATAGAGTTGCTATCCTACTCTGTTCGCGTGTTAGTCGAGCATAATTGGTACACTTTAAAATCTTTTGAGTGGATGGGAATGTTCAAAGTAGCAGCGTTTATCGATCCAGAATATTCGTTCTTGGAATTAGTTGGACAACGCAAACTAAACGCAGATGAGTCGAATCGTTTCTGCGAATGTCTTGTCAAGCAGAAGCTTAATATTGAAACGGAGAGAGATATCCAATATATTCGTTTATTTAGAGTAAGTACTATTTAATTTCCGTTGCATAGCTTCGAATATGATACTAATGTAATGTATGTCATTAGTCTTTTATTGAAACCGCCGCCAATATTCGAATTTTAGTATTTCTATGGAAGGAGATGATTAGACCGGACATGAAGGCTAATAACTCATTAAAACGGAATTGGATGACACGTCTGGACGAGATAATTAATACGGATAATACAACAGGATTACGCGTGCATTTGGACGAACTGCCAGACGATCTAGATATTGACTTCCCGTCATTGTTCATTAAAAGGATTATAAATTTACTCGATGGACAAAGATCAAAATGGGATAGAGACAATGTTAAGGACTTTGTTGCGTTGTTCAAAGACGATAGACTGCTGTGGACGCCAGAAGACAGAATGAAAGTGTTGAATTCGGTATCTATTTCACAAAAGATGGAAATATTGGATGAGTTTGTGGACCTACTTCAGGTAGTTCTGGACATCGATGCAAAAATGAATGCAAAACTCGTTGAATGTTGCACACAATGGTTCAAACGGGTAATAAATCAAACAAAGGAATCACGCTCTCGCTCTAATGGGTATAATTATGTATATACGGTATATAACCGACTTTCCACCATTTATCCAATACTCGAAGATCGACGGACGATTAAAAACGAACTATTAAATATTGCTGACGACCAGATCGCTCCATTAAATGAAGCTCAAATTTATGCTGCAGTTAAAAATATAGGAGACTTACAAGTGAAAGAGATTTGGAAATCTTTCTACGCAATTGTACAAAAAAAGCTTGGGCAATCTTCGTGGAATGCCGATGAACATTTACTGGAGAAAATTAGACAGATCTGCGGTTGTGACGGCAAGCAAATTCGAGTCCCTAATGGGTGAGTGATAATGTAAACTTCCATCCATCTTTTGCTTTGTGTTATAATTCAGTGATTCGATCCTTTTTATTATAGTTTCTGTGAAGATATTCTATTCCATATTTTGACCAAGTTGCAAGAAAGCGCTTCTTATCAAGAAACCGACGAAATTAGCGACAAATTTCACCAGAGCTTGTTGGATTCTCGGAAATTTTGGGTGAGCGTGTTGACTGCCACGGGTTGTGTAAACCGTATTAAACAACAACATCTCTATTGTGAGAGAGTTAGAAGAGCTATTGAAGACCTGGCGAATAAGCTAGAATGCCAACGCGTCACAATTAGCATGCTTGAACGACTTCTTCAGTATTCGGACCAAGATCTTTCCGAATATTTTGGCGTTCTGGACCATTTCGATGATGGCAAACAGTCCTTTTCCATTAAATCGTCGACTATTCAAGAATTTCGGGAAGTATTTTCTGGCTTCCAAGAGACGTTAAATCAACTCAGTACATTTTACGAGAAATTTTGTCAGCGAGATGCCAGAGTAACCAATGCTGAAGATTACCTCAATGATATTGCTAAAAGAAGGGACTCACTTGATAAGATTCGATACAAAGATATTTTATTAAAAGAGTATTGGGAAATTCATCAATCGATAACTGACGTTGCAGAACGCATATATCCGTTTCGTGATTCGGGAACCTTTGCCAATGTTTTTGAAGAATGTTTGAAGGAAGAGGAAGAATCGGAACCTTTAACAGTGGAAGTAGTCGCTCAGAAAGTTACCGAGGCAGCATTCAACAAGTATAATGAAAAAAGAGCTGCTTATAAAGATTGGAAAAAGTTAACGTGCGCCCAAGCACGTCCATTGTGGGCAAACGTGAAAAATGTCAGACAGGAACTGAAATTAATGTCAGAGGGCATGAAATGGAAGAGTACACAGGGTTTGATGAAATCGATTGAAGTGCTGGCTAAAATACCCGAATGGAAAGAGCGATTACGATACCTGATAGATGTATTGAATATTTTTGCAGTCATTGATGACGAAGAAACATTTTCGACGATGCTTGCCGGCTTAGAAAAAGAAACAATGCTGTTAAAAGATTTAAAGGAACTGATCTCAACATTGGAAAAGAAAATCGGAGCTCTTAATGATGATTGCTGGGAAATAATCAAAGAAATAGCTGTCGCTCACGATTTATTGATTTGGCTTGACAAAATTGGATTGGATGATTTAAAGAACGTAATTAATGGAGTTGATGACCACTCTGACGAACGTTTAATCCAGGAGGATACAGTTTCTTCTCTTATGGAAATCAAACAGTTTTTGGCTCCACTCAGATCGGATGATGTGCAATTTCGAGTTTCAGGATTTTTGGAAAAGCTTCGCGAATTGACTGATAAGAACAAAGTTCTCGCAGAGAGAATTTCTCTTTGTAATGGTCATCGTTCGGCACTAATGAATATGTATGAAAACATTACTAATAGAGGCGAAGTTACGAAGGAGCGTATAAAAAATGCTGCGACAAGGGGAATTTACATATTTAAACGCGATAAGGATGAAGATCGGTGCTCTGTTGAGATGTCTTACGAAACAGAGAAGGGTAGTAAC